CAGCGGGAACAACACGCCTGTTTTTCCTCGCAGGAATAACATGAAAGCCATCCAGGACATGTAAATCTCCTACTATCAACTTATGTTGCATTTCTTGAATGTCATTTTCCTCAATACAGGCCTCTAGCATATGTTCCTGTTATATGTGATTTAGTGCATTACTACAATAAAATCAAGCATAAACAATAAATATTACATTATATAGACGAATGACAGACCTCTTTGTCAAGACACAGCACATGCATTGTTCTTTTATGTCCCTGAGAGTCATCACCATGCTCAATCCATACATTAAGAACTCGAATGATCATAATATTAGTATAAGCACCCACACGTAGACTACGAAACACCATGCATGTGGAAATTGGGTCTGTGGCAAACGAAAGACAAAGAAAAACCCCAAAACTTCACACCTCGGCAGTGTTCATTCATAAACCAATAAATAGAAACTTGAAACAGAAAGCAACGGAGCCGATACCTCGTGGAAGAGTTGGAAGTTTGAAATCACGCGGCATTATACAACGATGCCTGATATGGAAAGACAATGGAAGATCAAAAATTTGTTAAAGTGTCAAGAAACAGAAACAGAATGCAAAAGGGAAAACTATCGGCGAGCATACCCCATGAATACACGACTATCCCTGATCTAGAAGTCGCGAAGCACTGTAGTTCGTGGGAGAAGAAGTTCAGAGAACAGGGGAAGTTAAAAGGCAGAATCAGAACCGAAATGAAAAGGCGGTGGAAGTTGGTCCCTAAAACGTTTTCGCACCACCATTATAAAATCATAAATTTAATATTCAATGGGCTATCAATTGTTCCCCTAATGGACCGAACAATTATAGAATGGGCTTCCCAAAAGCTATAGAAACTTAATATAAGCACAAAGGCATCTCCTATTCGGGCTAAATATGAGAATACTGGGCCCAATTCATATATCTACTTATATATCGTAAAAGAGGGCTCGTTATTTATATTTATCTATACGCGCCCGGGCTTGAAGCAAATTGAGAAAACACAAATGTTTTATTCGAGAACACTTTAATCATGTAACCGCAGTTTGTTATTGTGTATTCATTTTTAACATTGTCAATGGTCCAGGTGATACCACACAATTAAACTAAAGTTTGCTCTTGCTGTATATTTAGAACATAGGCTGTACTCGGTTCCTCATTTATGGCTATGTTCCTCAAATCTGGTGCTGTTAGGGTCAGTTTGTTCTGATATTTAGATGACTATCCACAAACATCTATATTAGGCAACAGACTGGAACATGTCAAATTTCAAATTAAAGCAGTGACTTCCACCTGCAATTTCTTGTTAAAATAAACAGCAACCATCAACTGGTTGCTCCTCTTTTCTTGCCTACATTCTAAAACCGTTGTAACCCATAATCGGATAGAAACCTTGGCCATTGATCCATGAACAACACTGGAAAAACTCAACACGCAAGCTACTCAATAGTGCACCTCTTGTACTTGCAAAAGCTGAATATCAAACAAAAGATAAGTGACATGGGAGAGAGATGTGCACCAAGGCAATCAACGTTATATTCGACATCATAAAAATACATAAACAACACCATTACACTACGTACACTAACTATACATAGATCTTTTTGTTCCTTCTCACAAAAACTTAGCTACTTTCCTTGTACAAAAGAGGTTCATTAGATACACTAACACTTCCTAGCTCTGACAGTTCCTCCGCCCACCAAATGTAACCATCTCCCCTATCGTTCAAAGCACCCCATCTGGAAACATAGAAGGATCAAAGTGAAATTCTCTATACATATATTCAAAATAGTAGCAATTGCAAAGGCAACACTTGTTCTGCCATCATGCATTAATTCATGGGTCACCATTCAAATACATTACAGAGAAGAATGCCAACAAATAGTAAGAGTGGATTCTAATCCTACTAAAGAATGCAATCACTCGTGGGCTCCAAACGCACCCAAAAAATTAGCAAAAACCATTTCCACTCAAAGAATTTGAAAGCATAACATTGAGAAAAGCACGATAGGAACTGTAGCCACTTCTCTCCTCTGAGTCCTCTCTCGTCTCGAGACCACCACCAACAACTGATCTTCCATTTCTTTCTCAAGGAGAGTCGAGTCAAATCCCTGTCTCCTCTGAGTCCTCTCTCGTCTCGAGACCACCACCAAGAACTGACCTTCCATTTCTTTCTCAAGGAGGGTCGAGTCAAATCCCTGTCTCGTATCAGAAGCCCAGAGAGAGAAGAAGGTATGCGAGAAAATACAGCCAGAGAAAGAGGTTGAAAGGATCGGACCTCCGCGGGCAACGTGCTCAGCTTCGCATAGCACCACGCAGAAAATCCGGCCCAAACTCAAAAAAACCGGAGAAACCCACAAAGGTGGTAACGTAACAACAATGATCACAACAAACCTAAAACGCAAAAGAAGAAAAAAAGTAGAGGGAAAGACAGGGAGTTGACGCGACCTTTAGCATAAGAGTTTATGAAAACTTGCGGATCTGTACAGTCAGTATTCTATACTGGTTAGAAGAAGGCGCAAACAGACGACGCATTCTTCATCCTCACTGGTGCAGGGAAACAGCAGATGGCGGGCTCCTCAATCCTCATCCAATCAACCCCTTCATCCTCATCGAAATGGCAAAAAACCTATCAGATCCACACAACTCATAAAACAATCCTCGATTTAAGATTCCGAAAATCACCAACAATCCCTCAAACAAAAGGATGAAAAGAAAGATGTGATTATATACCGATAAATCGGAGATGGCCCAGCGAACAAAAGTAGCTAATCATCCTTTCAACTACCTGCAATTACAAATAGAAACACAGGATCCAAACGATTAAGAGACTTGCAAAAAGAGAAAAGCAAACTCAACATAGAGAGACGGATAAATCACCTAGGACGAATACAAAACCTGCAAAACTGGATCTTCTCCAGACCTCTCAACTGTCCTCCAGTGGGTCTGGATCTCCTCCAGATCTCTCAAACCTTCTTCTTCGTGGCTTTCAACTCCGCCCTTCTCCCAAGAAGAGAGATGAGAAATCCCAACGTAGAGAGGACACCGAGGGAGAGAGAGAGAGAGAGCAGTCGGAGAGTTGAATAACAAAAGGGGAGAGAGTAACATGCTAAAGAGAAGCAAAGTTTTCTTTAAGCACCAAGCTGAAGAAAAAGAAAAGAGCAGATCCTCTCAATTAATTAATGCCTAAGCATGCACAAAACAGTAATAGCCTCTCTTAGCGCCGAACAACACAAGGACTTTCCAAGCCCTCCCAGAGACACCAAAAACCGGTCTTTTCATACAGTAGAGAAAAAGCATGTCAAGGTATCTCTCTGTATCTAGAAAACCCTTTTCTGTTTCTCGAACGACCCACCTCTCCACTGTCCAGGCATGTCACTCTCATCCACACATCCACAAACCCGCCAGATCTCCCACCGCTCAATGATCCCTCCCCAGCAGAACACCCAAAGCAACTGAATAAGCCTCGATCCACGCACCCGCTTGGGCCAAAGCAGCATATAGATCTCTGATGACCAACGCGCGTCAGAGCCACCAAACGACCCCAATGCAGAGATACTGAGCAACACAACTCCTTTCAATCGACTTTTCAGTCCCTCTCATGGCCCACCATCTCTGAGCTATCCCATCTCCCAGCACTGCCTCTCCCAAACCCGCCAGATCTCCCACCACTCAACGATCCCTACCCAGCAGAACACCCACAGAGTAACCGAAAAACCCTCGATCCGCGTGCCCGCTCGGGCCAAAGTCAAATATCGATCTCTGATGACCAACGCGCGTCGGGGCCACCAAACGACCGCAACTAAGGCCAACCAGAAGCCAACGACCAGTCCCACACCGACCGAGACCCCAGAGCCCGCCAAATCCCACGCCAGATCCCAATGAGGCCTCACCCAACTCCAGCCCATACGCCAGCCCACGCCAGTTTGAAACAGTAAATCTCAGTCACGTTGTACAGTAAAAGGTGTCTGCGTGTACAGTACACGGGCATGCGGCGGGTTTCTCTCTTTCAATTAGCTTGATTTAATATTTATTTACTTAGGCATATGCAAACACTTCACATGGGGCAGATTGGGTTATAATGGCTCAAATGGAAGAATCTAACTGGTCCAGCGATACGGCGATCGGCGATACCCTAAACCCAAGTCCACCAAATTTCTCCTCCCATGTGTCCTTTCTCCAATCCAACGACTTAATGCCAATTGCCATGCCGCCTTGCATTTTTAATGGTCAATCTCAGTATCATACTATCATATATGAATATATGGTTCTTTATTGATTCACGGCTCGCCAGCAAAAAGAATAGCACAAATTTACAGTATTACAGTTGTCCCGAGATGTCTTAACCTAGACCGATATGGCCACAAAACAAATATGTCGCTCTGCACAAACATTGAATATAGGGGAGTGTTGAAATGGTCATACATGACCAATCTGAGATGATCGGAATTGAATTTAGTTGGCCAATTATAGCCAATTATAGTTAATGACGTGTTGTGGAAAGTTATTGTCGAGTTATACTTCTATCTACTAAACAAGTTCCATTATTCGAATTTAAATGACTACTTTTATGTTGTTTGTTAAGCCTTGTTATCACGATATATCGTTAGAACGACCATAATAAAATATTTTAAGTAAAATATTCCTTCATCGACAATACTTAGTTACTCCAAAATCAGAATTCGCGACTAATTGCCTAGTAAAACATGTTAAAATAGTACCATAATATGATCTTTATGCAAGTCAAAGAAATGAAAATGAATCGGACCTTCAAGGATTATTACCGTATGATGCGAGTTCTTAACAAGCCTACAAAAGCAAAAAGAATAAAATCCCTCGTATGAAGCCCATTTGCATATCGCCCTTTCTGTTTCGCCGGCCCAAAAACGAACCTGCTACGTTCCTTCCACGTGTCCTCTGATTTGTCCGTTTCCCCATCATTTCTTCCGCTTTTCCAGTAATATATATATACAGCTCAGCGTTTAAATCGACGAACCCAACCCACTTCCTCCCCCACTATCTCTCACAGAGCTCCGTCGCCGGCGGCGGTTAGCTATGTCGGAGAAACCGACAGGCCTCCCCCGTTTCCGCCGCTCTGTGATGTAACTCCCCACATTCCCCGCTAAACGAATTTCACCGCCGGCGCCGGCAAGATTCAGTTCATAATTCCCTGATTTTTTTTTTCTTTCTGATCTAATTCGCAGCAGTTATGATGTCCTGCGTCTCGCCGTCGTTGTCGTCCCTCTACGACGGCCAGACGCACGATGTCTATCTCCACGGAGATCTCCATTTGACGATCGTTGAGGCTCGACGGCTCCCGAACATGGATCTGCTCTCGGAGCGGCTACGGCTGTGCTTCACGGCGCTCGACACCTGCCGGAAGCCGTTCTCCGGCCGTAAGGGAAAGAAGAAGAAAAACGGCCGGAAGACCAACATCATCACCAGTGACCCTTACGTCACCGTCTGCGTCGCCGGAGCCCGGGTCGCCCGGACCCGGGTCATACCCAACTCGCAGAACCCCATTTGGAACGAGAACTTCCGGATCCCGATCGCGCACCCGGCTACTCACATCGAGTTCCACGTCAAAGACGACGACGTCTTCGGCGCGGATCTAATCGGCATCGCCGTCGTCCCCGTCGCGAGAATCGCCGGGGGCGAACGAGTTAGGGATTGGTTCCCAATCGTCAGCTCACTCGGTGGTAAACCGCCGAAGCCCGACTGTGCGATGCTGATCGAGATGCGATTCGTGAAATGCGAGGACAACCCGATGTACAAAATCGGTTCGGATACCAACCCGAACTTGTACAGCATCCGAGACTGCTACTTCCCGGCCCGACCCGGGAGCTCGTTGACCCTGTACCAGGACGCCCATTGCCCCGACGGATTGTTACCGGAGATAAAATTGGACGGCGGGATGGCGTTCAAGCACGAGAAATGCTGGGAGGATATCTGCCACGCCATTCTGGAGGCGCATCATCTGGTTTATGTGGTGGGTTGGTCGGTGTTTCATAAGGTGAAATTGATTAGAGAGCCCACGAAGCCATTGCCCAACGGCGGGAATTTGAGCTTGGGGGATTTGCTGAAGTATAAATCGCAGGAAGGGGTTAGGGTTCTTATGCTGGTTTGGGATGACAAGACTTCTCATAACAAGTTCTTCATTAACACGGTAATGAAAAAACAGAACTGTCAGCTTTTCCATTTGAAGTGTAAAGGGTTTCAGGGTTTGATTGTGTGTTTCCTTTTTTTTTTTTTTTTTTTGTGCAGGCTGGAGTAATGCAAACACATGATGAAGAGACTCGAAAGTTCTTCAAGCATTCTTCAGTGAACTGTGTGCTGTCGCCGCGATATGCCAGCAGTAAGCTTAGCATTTTCAAGCAACAGGCACGCTTTACACGGTGTTTCCCTCTTCTGTGTCATCATATATTCAAGCATTCTCTCGTTTCTGTAAAGCATGAGTTAGTTTTCCTTGGTACGAATCATGGTAGCCTAAAGGATCTGAAGATGGCTAGGAAGATAGTATTGCATCAGAAAAGTTTGCGTCTTTAACCTGACTGGAAGATGGAGTTTTCATTGTACCTTGTGTGTTGCTGGCAGGTTGTTGGGACTCTGTTCACTCACCATCAGAAGTGTGTGATCGTGGATTCGCAAGCATCTGGGAATAACAGGAAGATCACTGCATTTCTTGGTGGTCTAGATCTTTGTGATGGCCGCTATGACACTCCTGAACATAGATTGTTTCGTGATGTTGACACTGTGTTTGATGGCGATTTCCATAACCCGACTCTTCCTGTGAGCACATTTTTTTCGTCTGTGTAATATGTTGTTTGAACAATCATTTCTATGAATTATGTTAGGTTATCCATTTTTAGTCTGTCTTGTGCAAACTTTGATGTGAATTCATTACTAGGTTGGTTGATCCATGCTTAGTGAACACGTCATTGATGGCTCATGGAGGTGCATATCATGCAACATTGTGTTTCAAGTAAACTGTTGTGTGACTCTTGCTGTCGCTTCTTCTTTAGGTAGGGATTAAGGGTCCTAGAGAACCATGGCATGATCTGCACTGCAAAATCGAAGGACCAGCTGCCTACGATGTGCTGACAAATTTCGAGCAGCGTTGGAAGAAAGCTGCGAAACTCAGGCGGTTCAAAACAGTGAGCCATTGGCATGATGACTCCTTGATTAAGTTGGAGAGAATCTCTTGGATACTTAGTCCTTCACCGTCGGTCTCAATCGATGATCCTTCACTGTGGGTGACTGAGGAGAAAGACCCTGAAAAATGGAATGTCCAGGTTAGTTTCAGTGCAGTGTCGTTTTTCTAAGAATATTTCGTCTTTATACTAGTCTTACTAAAACTATTAGTACATAGATTTATTTGTTAATAAACTGATATAGTAGGTAGGGACTACAACTACAATCCTTTCTGTAGCCTGCTTCACTTCGAATTCTGACTCCCGCTGTTTCATTAATTGACAGGTCTTTCGGTCTATAGATTCAGGGTCATTAAAAGGATTCCCCAAAGATGTTTTCCAAGCAGAGGCTCAGGTTTTGTGTTTCCCTAACATTCTTCATCCACAATTGTTCATCATTCTTTGTAGTGTTGTTGTCATTATCTGAACTTCGACCAATTCATATCTGCATCACAGAATCTCGTGTGTGCTAAGAATCTGGTGATTGACCGAAGCATTCAGACGGCTTATATTCAGGCAATAAGATCTGCCCAGCATTTCGTGTATATTGAGAACCAGTACTTCATTGGATCCTCTTACTCTTGGCCAGCATATAAAGAAGCCGGTATGAGTCTGCTGTGGGAAATTTGCTCGATGACAATGTAAATTCCATCTTTCTCATTGTGATTTATGTTGTTGGACAGGAGCGGATAATCTAATTCCTATGGAGCTGGCATTGAAAATCTGCAGCAAGATAAGGGCAAAGGAGAGGTTTGCTGTTTACATTGTCATACCAATGTGGCCGGAGGGCCTTCCTTCTTCCGCTTGTGTGCAAGAGATTCTGTTTTGGCAGGTAATGAGAGTGGAAATCCACTGGTTCAATTATGTAGTTGGTTAAGTATATATATTTATGTAAGGTGTACTGCAAATCGCTTTCTCCCGAACTTCCCCGACCAAACCACTTGTTTCTTTGCAAAGGGACAAACCATGCAAATGATGTACAGACTGATAGCAGAAGAGCTGGAAAACATGAAGATGGAGAATGCCCATCCTCAAGATTACTTGAACTTCTTTTGTCTCGGCAACAGAGAACAACCCCCAAAAGACGAATCTCCACCAAGTTCAAGCAGCAGCAAAAATGCAAGCCCACCCGAAGTGGTAATTGATCATGCTCTCTACTTCTTACACGATGGAATTTTACTGAGCCATCTGAAAAACTGATCATTTCCATGCATATGACTAATCCAGACCTCGAGCTGCCAGAAGCACCAACGGTTCATGATCTACGTTCACGCGAAGGGGATGATAGTAGACGATGAGTATGTGATCATCGGATCTGCAAATATCAACCAACGTTCCATGGCCGGTTCGAGAGACACCGAGATAGCAATGGGTGGGTACCAGCCGAACCACACTTGGGGCAACAAGAAACGTCACCCCCGAGGCCAGGTTTGTATTTCCAGATCATGAATTCTGCTTCAGCTACAATGCTGAATCAAGCCCGAATTGCCGAGCTTTCACGAAACTAATCTGATACTTCCTCCTATTTCTCTGCAGGTCTATGGATACAGAATGTCGCTATGGGCAGAACACTTGGGAAAACTACACGACACGTACAAAGAACCCGAGAAGCTAGACTGCGTGAAGGCAGTGAACAAGACGGCGGAAGAGAACTGGGAGAAGTTCACATCAGAGAAGTTCAAGTCACTGCAAGGCCACATCCTCAAGTATCCTGTGCAGGTTGATAAAGACGGCAAAGTGAATCCTTTGCCGGGGCACGAAACTTTCCCTGACGTGGGTGGTAAAGTTCTTGGAGCTCGAACCACGCTTCCAGATGCATTGACTACTTGAAGAACTACTGATGAAGTTAATCTAAACCCAGGTTCCCAACTTCTAACTTCTCTTATTGATTCATTTGTTTGGCTCTTATGAAAAGCAGGGGAGGGGGTAGCTATGTATAATCATTTCTTTGATTCTTCTATGTACCGTCTCTGTTAACATAGAAATGTTACTGATTCCAAATGTGTTTGTCAAGAAGAAAGAAATATATGCAATATGGAGACTGTGTACTTTGCTGTTTAATACAGGGGTTTGTGGGATTCGAAACTTGATATGATCACCTTCGTTGTGTAGCCCGATTGTGAAGAACATAGCTTAGTGATTGCGGAATCGGAGATTATGGGTTTATTTGGGTTACTTAGCGAACACGGCAAATCTACAAATCGTGCAAGTGAAATGGTGATGAGAAGGCAAACAACCAACACACCATTTCAAGCTCTTACACCAACCTCTCAAATCTCAATCGACTATATATATTCCATCCAACAACAACGAGAGGAAAAAAAAAAAAAAAAGGAGCAAACTACAGAGCAAAGGAACCCATTGAAGAGATTTACTCTGTTCTCAGTTAACAGTGACCTTGCCAACCATGCCGGCACCCTGGTGAGGCGAGCAGTAGAATTTGTACTCTCCTTTCTCCGTCAGCGCCACCTTGTAAGTCTCCCCAGGTGCATTCAGCAAGTCCTCCTCCGACATCGAGATCTTGGCCGCGTCCACGCCGCTGGGGATCTCGTCCTCGTCGAACACAATGTTGTGGGGGAACCCTGCATTGTTCTTGAACGTGATGGTCTCGCCGGCGGCCACGGAGAACGTGCTGGGGACGAATGCCAGCGAGCCGTCGTCGCCGCCGAGCAAGATGTCGATGGCCATGGCGTTGCCCGCCAGCATCGCTGTGGCGGCGGTGGCGGCCACCGCGACGCCGAGGTCCTTCATCGAGGCCCTGATGCCGCCGAATTTCGGGGCGGCGACGGACATCTTGGCGGTTGTGGCTACTGGGGTGGCCTTCGCCGACTTGAGGCCGGTGAATGATGGGATGGCAACGGCAGCTGAGGTGATGGTGGCCATAGCTAGAGCTAGAGGTAGAGAGAATAAGAAGGTGGTTTCTTGGAGCTTGGTGGGTTTCTGGGTTTGTGTTCTGAAGTTTGGCCGCAAAAATGGAAGGGAAATGGATGAGATGGTGAGATATAAGAGACGGGACTTTGAGGGGAATGGGGTGAGATATTGTTGAAGCTTTTCACGGTTTTGTGTGGTTCAGAATGTGGGATTGGAATGGGAAGGATGAAATGGATGTGAAGGGGAATGAGCAATGTGAAGATTGAGCTTTATCTTATCAGAGATGTTCTGATTGGCTGGTTGAAGATCCTGGTTGGCGACATGGTAGGAGGATGTGGCATGTGTACACTAAAAAGTTGTCACGGTTTATGATGTTATTCCGATTTGGCAAGTGAAATGCTACGAACGATGATATGATTGGTTTATACCGGTTTTTATAGAACGTATAAGAAAAGTGATAGTGAAATTTTATTAATATCAAATACATTAGTTAGGAAGAAGCATCTAAAGGAGTTAATTCACATAAAATAATTCATAGTTGGTAATCGGTAACTAGTAGTAAACAATTAGATAAGTAAAATAACTGTATATAAATGAAACTTGGACAAGTGTGAAAATAATGGCGTACATTTTTTTGTTTGACCAGTCGGTTTTCTCGATTCTGACCGGCATTGACTAGATTTGACCTACACGTAATACTGGCTCCTTTCCAGCCAATTTGGTGACCAGTACCAACTGTATCCAATTGAACCAACGAGTAGGAAGATGTAACACCCCGGTATTTTAGATTTAGGTTCGACTTTAATATGTGAACGGTTGAATTGACGGTTACGTTTCAAGGGTTGCGATCGGGGATTAAAAAAAATAATGATAATAATCATATTTATTTATTATTATTATTATTAAACAAAAAGAAGGGGAAAAGGAGAATTAATCCCCCTGCCCGCGAGTTACATAACTCACCTTACCTTTCTCTCCCTATTATTGATTCCCCAACATAAAACCCTATTCTTCCTACCTTTTATGGACGGAAGCAGCAGCAAAATTGGGGAAGAGAGAAAGAAAGAAGAACGAATCTGTCGACCTTTCCCCAGCAAAACCGACCCGGCCAACCCTTCCCTTCCATTGATGCAAGCCGCATCCCTTTCCCCAACGACTGACCCGACCACTCCTCCTCGCGATCGCCAGCTAGCGGCGGCAGTCATGGCGAGACCAAATGACATCGGCGGCACAAGTGTAGTCGACCTCAACCATCTTTCGAGTGGTGAGTATCAATGCAAAGAGGAGATCCCAGGATCATCACCGTGTAGACGAAATCGAATTCCGACGTCGGACGAGGGAGAAACGAGCACTGAAAGGTTGGATGAAAATCTGTTAAGTTCAGGTACCATTATGTAGAATTCAAAAAGTTAGTGGATTATTTCTGTAATTTTCCAGTGGGGGTCGTGGTCAACTCTGTTGACTGGAGAAATTGCAATTTCGGTACTTGGTATTTTTTTTAAACTGACAAAATGTTTATTTTGACCATAACTTGATCAATTGACGTCCAATCAAGGAATCGTCTGCGCCTATGGAATCATGGAATCGAGGAGAATATTATAGGAGAGAGTTTGGAATTGTCAGAGTCTAATCAGAGTCGGTTTTGACGAGTACGAGGTGAGTGTAAAGGGGGTAAAATATCCGTCGATGTCTTTTAGTTTATGTCTTTTAATTCAGTTATTATTTAGTTAATTGTTCTAGTATGCGCGATATGTGTGTGAGGCATCCCACCTCCTGTAAGGATGGAGGCACGCGTTGTGCTATGTATGAATGTATGGATGTATGATTGTAATAGTTGGTTGATGGTATGAGGAACCCCGGGCGGTTGGGCCACTACTGGACGCAGTAGATGGTCGGGTCACTGCTGGACGGCGAGACGTAACGCAACAGTCGATCGAGTATGTTGGGTCACTACTGGACGGCGAGACGTAACGCAGTAGTTGACGGGCATGGACTGGACGGCGAGACGTAACGCAGTGCCATTGCCGAGTTTGGGTATGCAACCGGACGGCGAGACGTAACGCGGTTGGCATACTAGGGTAGGACATCGGACGGCGAGACGTAACGCGGTGGTCCTAGCGTTTTGTGTTTGTGTTAAGGATAAAAGTTGAGAACCTCTATGAGTTAAAGTTGAAAGGAGTTTTTAAGAACATAAGTAAGGGAATTCTAAAGATAAGATAGGAGTAGAGCTCTCTTATAGACGGTTTGATAATAAAGTTTGAAGGATGAAAGTGAGAACGACTTTCGTCTAAGGAAGACATTCCCCTAATAATGTGTTCAGTAAGGAGTTTGCCTAGGGCAAGGACCTTAGGAAGTAACAACGAGACCGACCCCTTCTCACTCACCAGGTTGAGGATAGTCTAGTAGAAGTGGATCAAGAGAAGACGTAGGGTGAGGCGAGAAGCAGTACCAGCGTCGACGGGATATCAGAAAGCTTGTGAGGAGTCAAGTTAGATTAGTTAATTTTTTTCTGTTTCATGGTTATTAGTATAAACTGGAGATTCTGTGTTAAGTCATTTTAAGTGTTTGAGATGGAGAATTTTGCCCAAGTGTTGGGGCTTTTCGTTAAAAATTCTTAAAAGATGTCAGTTTGTTTATTTTAAAATGTGGTTGGGTTGCTCCGGAGTAACCGGTTTTTGGTTTGAGTTATGGTTTGGTTTTTGAAAAGAGACGGGACGTGTCATTTTGGTATCAGAGCCTGCACTCCTCTGTTCCTTGGCCTCCAAGGAATACTGGAGTGACGATCTGCGTTTTTCAAGGTTTCAGTTGTTTAAAAGGAAAGGGTAAAGGGAGTGTCAGTTAAAAGTTTGGCCAAACGAGTCAGTGTCTTTCGGAATCTTTTTTTTTTTTTTAGAATCTCCAGAATACTCTAATCATGATAAGGAAATAACTTTAGGATGCCCCAGGGGGTATGATACGTCTTGGGAAGGAGAAGGAGCAGGTTCCTAGAGGGATCGTTTAGTGAAACCCCTTCATGAGTGAGAAGAGGAGGGTCAAGGCAGCTCATATTCTATGGGGATGTGAGCTGATTAGAATCAGGTTCTGGAAGGAGCCAAGCAATTAATACATCGACTAGTAGAGCCAAGGAGTTATGGCAAATGTCGCCATAATCGAGAGGAAAGGGTGCAAGGAAGGGTCGTGGAGTTCAGGAGAATTGAACATAGGGCTACAACCCCAAGGAGCAGCTGAAAGTTAGACTTTGAAAAATACTAGGGCCACCTAAGAAAGCATAGGAGGAGCTAAGTATATCATAGGGCGTCTAACAAGATGTCATGGGATCAATACATCAAGGCTAGAAGGAGGTACAACTCCTTGCAAAGAGATTATCACAAGTGAAACTTGGAGTCGTCACAACGAACAAATTTCGAGGTCGAAATTTTTCCGAAGGAGGGGGGAAATGTGATGTCTCGATTTTGGATTTAGGTTCAACATCAACTACCAGGAGAATTGGATCAACATGACAATCCGAATTGGCATTTTGTTTCACCATGTTTGGATCAAGCTGGGAAGTAAAAAGGGCAGTGAGACACTTATGGTTACACGAGTGTTGCAAGCTAAGGAAACTTATTTGAGCAAAAGGTACCAACGAAGTTGTTATAGTAAGAATAGATTATCGTGGGAAGGAAGTGTAAGAAGGGTGTTAATAGAAGGATGAGTTCCGAGCAAACTTCGGGGACGAATTTTTTTTGTAAGGGTGGGGAAATGTAACACCCCGGTATTTTAGATTTAGGTTCGACTTTAATATGTGAACGGTTGAATTGACGGTTACGTTTGAAGGGTTGCAATCGGGGATTAAAAAAAATAATGATAATAATCATATTTATTTATTATTATTATTATTCAACAAAAAGAAGGGGAAAAGGAGAATTAATCCCCCTGCCTAACTCACCTTACCTTTCTCTCCCTATTATTGATTCCCCAACATAAAACCCTATTCTCCCTACCTTTTATGGACGGAAGCAGCAGCAAAATTGGGGAAGAGAGAAAGAAAGAAGAAGAAAAAAGGAAACCATGGTGGGAATTGAATGGCGCGAAACATGTTGTAGTTGGGCTCCTACTGCCCAAGCTCTTCAAGAATTCATAGACCTTTGCACGAAATTGAGACCACTGCCAGCGTTTAGGTAACACTTCTGCCAGGATGAGATGCCCTGGAAAAGGTTTATCATTTGTGATTTTTTTTTATTAATGTGGCATCAATTTCATGGCTCCCTTCCCTCCTTCTTTTGGTCACAAATATATCCTAGTTGTTGTCGACTATGTTTAGAGGCGAGCTGAGCATAGGCTTTGCCACCAATAATGCTAGGCGTGTTTGTGCATTTCTTAAGAATCTCTTCTCCCGGTTTGTGACACCTAGGGACATCATAAGTAATCGAGGAACCCACTTTTAGGGTCAATTGGACAATCTCCTCGCTCGCTCTGGTGTCACCCACAAGGGGTCCATGGCTTACCATCCCTAAATGAGTGTTCAAGTCGAGCTAGAAAACAAGAGCTGAAGCGCATTCTAGAAAATATGGTGGATCACTCTCGCAAGGATTGGTCAACTAAGCTCAATGAGAATCTGTGGGCTTATCGTTCTGCATACAAAACACCTATGGGTACCTCACCATGCAGGCTTGTCTATGGAAAAATTGCCATAAGCTGGTTAAGCTAGAGCATAAGGCCTTTGGGGCCCTTAAGTGTGGATGCTACTGCTTTAGGAAATGAAAGAAATTTGAAGGTTCTCGAGCTGGGGAATGGCGATATCACGCATATGAGAGCATGTTGTTTTCAAGGAGAAGAGGGAGCATCTGTACGACGCTCGTCTAAAGAAAGTTAAGGAGTTCCAGACGTGCGATATGGTTCTCCTTTATAATTCTCGCCTAATGTTATTTCCTGGCAAGCTCAAGTTTAGGTGGTACGAGCCTTTCACGGCCACTCAATCATTCGCGTATGGCGTGGTGGAGATCTCTCACCCGCAAAACAAGACATTTAATGTCAATAGCCACCGCATCAAGCAATATCTGGGTGGCGATGTACCCCACCATGAGGATCTGTTGATCTTTGAGGATCCTTAATTCCTCATGTTGCGTCTAGCTAAAGACGTTAAAGAAAGCGCTAGTGGAAGGCAACCCAACCTTGGTTTTCGTTTTCTTCCCTTTCTTTCGTTTTTTTGTATGTTCGCGTCTTTTTGTGCTGTTTTGTCAATTCCCCATCATGTCATGTGCCCATTTTCTATGTGTTTTTGTCATT